ATCACGTGTTGCATGCTCCCAGGCGCTCCGGAGGGCTTTACCATATTAACAGGAGAACCTGCGCAAGTGAAATTAGACACAGTCGTCAGACAACATGCAGTAATTTATAAATGTTTTAAATCAGGTTGGGTCTGCTAATCAATGACCTCTGATCTATACCTTTACCTAGGGTGCTCAAGTATATACTAATGACTTTAGACGTGGATTTGTCCAAGCTGGGAAATATACAGCTGGCATAAAAGATTCCTGATTAAAACAAAAATGAATAAAAACACACGTGACTTTTCCATCTTAAAGTCTTTTATTTTATGCGATATTAATCTATTGAGAGGCTTTTTCCGGCAGCTTGTTGTGTCAGCAGTTGTAGCCAAAGCTTCTCAAAAACCCCCCAGAGAAAGACAGAAAGAAAGGCGTCTGGGTGGAACCAGTGCAAGATCAACAGGAAACTGGACAACAACATCAGGCATAGTGCAGCCAGTGAGGGGAAGGAATCAAATCTAAATCACATAAACATGTTCAAGTAAAATGTCAGAGGACCAGCAGACATGAAAAACATCACGACTGTATCCCTCCGAGGATTCAGACTTTATCGACCAGATCAATACAAAACAGAACTTCAAGGATGAAGAAAAACACATGAAGAGAAACAGTCTAGTGCACAAACAAAAACACTCCCACGGCCTGAGAAGTTTCACACTTTCAAGTACTACAGTTTCACCAATCTGACCCCCCCCCCCTCCAGACAGGCGAAGTGACAAGACGATCAAAATTACACACAGCAAATAACCACAGAGCGGGGAAACAATCCACTAATGACTTTCCTTCATCTGACCACAAGATACTTCAAAGTGAAAACACAGAGTAGTGCAGCATTTCAAATACAGGCAGGGCGGGCCTTCCCTGAAGCAAAGCAGAGACAGCGTCCAATCAATGAACGTCAGCTATTGTTCACAAAACATTTCAATAGTTAAGAACTGGAAAAGCCTTCAAAATTTAAAAACAAAGGAAATGGGCGGCAATGGTTTCAAAAATGGCTGCTTCAGATTACATTCAACAGGAACCAAAATTTGAAAAGAATTAACACATTTCAGTGTAGTGACAGAGTGCTGTGATTTCTACACCATCACAGTTTGTTTTCCTTTTCCAAGCTTTGACAAGTGATCTCAGTGGTAGAGGACTCTTTGTCAAAGCTTGGAAAAGGAAAACAAATGTTTAAAAATACTGGATATTTCCAGGTTTATAAGGAAGCAAACATGTCACATTATAGATGTATGATCATCTTTTGTCAAACTTTAAAGAAAGTGGGATATAAAAGACAAGTTGGGACCTCAGAGGTGGACTTATGATGCTCCTGGATCCCTTTGGGGGGTTTCTGCGTTGGGTTTCCCTTTATGCTCGATGTGGACGACACTGTTAAGGAGATCCGCTAAAATAATCTTTATATCCCAATAAATGTTGGAATCTTATTTCCCAATCCTTCCTACTTTGTAGACAGAGTTAATACATTTTATAAATGCATCGTTTTTATCCCAAGTGAAACTGGATAAAAAACAGTTGGCAAAAATTAATTTCAACTCTGCCTCAGATTGTTGAGTGGATTTCTGTCGGGACGAGGACCTGCCTGCTCGACATGTCCAGGGTGTTTGGACATGTCTTTAAAGTCGTAGGGAAGCGGCTGTTCCAACTGTTGCATTTCCGAATTCTCCAGTGATTAAAGTGAATATTGTTGGTCATTATCAAGGGGGCGGGGTTGTTGTGGCGGAAGATTGGCAAGCAAGTTTGATTTTGCTAACCAGTTAGCAACTTAGTGCTAGTAGTTTCCCAATGGGAAGTTCTATTGGGACCAAGTAGCACTAAATTGGTGACTCAGAAACGACACTGTCAAGGATCGCTATGGACTGCGGAAACATGCAAGAAGAGGAGAGTTTTGTGTCGGAGGTCATGGATGAGTCTCCTCCGTTAAAATTTTTTTATATAGAGTAGGAAAGCGGGACGAAGATGTAGTGGAAGAGGACGCCAGGGCGGCAGAAGCTTGGTTTGGTGTAGAAGGCTTACAGCCGTACATGTTTGAGCCCTTGCCTCGCAACGCTGCCAGTTCTGTTAGCTCTACGCCTGCTGAAGACACAGACGTCCATCCCCGTGAACACTGGGACGGAACTCAATGGGAAAGTAAATGATTCTGATTTTTATCCTTTTCGTTTTTTAGCTGCAACATATGATTCAAGATGCTATGACTGAAAAAATATGATTGACAGATATATGATTGGATGAATTTAGGTGTACAAGCTGACGTATAACTAACTGGCCTGCATAAAATAACAAAAAAAACCCACAGATTTGAAGACAGGATTTTTTTTTTTTTATAGAAATGTTCTAAATTGTGGGACAATATCATCTGATAAAGAGTACATTTATATACATGTTTAAGCCAGAATGATTTGACATTTAAATCTGATTTCCCTGCGACTTTAAGAGAAAAGCAATGGTTTGGATATCGTCTTCATTGCCCTGTCTGACTTTTAAACAGGTTCCCTGACCTGAGCTGTGGTTCCTTTCACCTCTCTTGGCTGTGTCTCTGATGAACACCTGTTTATCTCCCTGCTTATTGAGGGAGGCGGCCATGTTATGGAGGGATTGGTTGTGATGGATTGCATTTATTGGGATTATATGCACTACTAGCTTTTAAGTTTTTTGAGTTTTTTTCCTTCCATTCAACACCTACAGTAGCAGCGATTCAAAATGGCCCTTCCCAGTTAAACACCAGCCTAATGGCAGCCCACTTCCCTGCAACTCCCAGCCAAATCCCCTCCAGCCACTGGAGTGACCCCCCTCTTGCATATTTTTCTACTCTGACTCCACAATTTCTCTGAATTACAGGGTCTGACCAGGAGATGCTGCTACTCTAGATCTTAATGTCCACAATTCATGACAGAAAGAATATTTTAGTAAATAAATTGAGGTTTAAAAAAGGAACTGTAGGGGACCAGCCAAGGGTCCATCAAAGAAAGTAAAGAAATTTTGAATGGCTACTACTGTAAGCACCACTTTTTTTACCTGTCATATAACCTCCTTTTAAGATTGACCAACATTTTAGCTTTTAACAGGAAAGATAAAGATGTGTAAGTAGTGGAACGTCATAACAACGGTTTTAAAAATGTGGCTAAAGAAGGAGTTTACTCTTATATCAGATCAAGTTATTTTGGATTGTTGTTGATAAAAATAGCCAATAATCTGCCAGAACACACACAGTCGTCCCACTACGCCTCCAGTCTACTTATCCCACAAATGACGTCGGTTTACTCGCCCGGCTGTCGGCAAACCTGGATTACGGCCGTCTTCTAAATTACTTTTTGGAGACAAATCTATTCTTTAATCTCAGGCAGATGGCCATCTGGCCCAC